CGTTGCTAGATTATCCTTGTAACCACAAATAACGCTCTCTCTCTCTCTCTCTCTCTCTCTCTCTCTCTCTCTCTCTCTCTCTCTCCTCTCTCTCTCTCTCTCTCCTCTCTCTCTCTCTCTCTCTCCCCTCACCCCCTCTCTCTCCCTCCCCTCTATCTCCATCCCCCTTCCCCTCTCTCTCTCTCTAATACACAGAGCAGCAAGGGGTCACAATTGGAAGTTGAAAACTCAGATGAGTCACAGGGATGGTAGAAAGTATTTCTTTAGTCATAGAGTTGTCAGGAAGTGGAATAGCCTAGAAAGTGACGTAGTGGAGGCAGGAACCATACATAGCTTTAAGAAGAGGTTCGATAAAGCTCATGGAGCAGGGAGAGAGTGCACCTAGCAGCGACCATCGAAGAGTCGGGGCCAGGAGCTGTGAATCGACCCCTCCAACCACAAATAGGTAAGTACAAATACGTGAGCCCACACACCACACATACACACACACACACACACACACACACACACACACACACACACACACACACACACACACACACACACACACACACACACACACACACACACACACACACGAGTTACGCAACGATAAACTGAAGACGTCTATTATTAATGGTGCTCACGCCACACTATCTGATAAAGTTATATATATATATATATATATATATATATATTATATATATATATATATATATATATATATATATATATATAATATATATATATATATATATATATATATATGTATGTATGTATATTTAGGAAATATTTTAATTCTATTACAGTTATTAGTAGTAAGAGTATTAACAGATAAGGTTAACTGAAGGAATGACAGCCGTGGAGCTGGGCATTAGAGAGAGAGAGAGAGAGAGAGAGAGAGAGAGAGAGAGAGAGAGAGAGAGAGAATAGTATTAGTTATGATGGGTACAAGTAGTTTCTTCATCTCCTCTCTAACATACATTGTGTAGTTCATAGTTTCATTTAGGATTAATAACTGTATGATTAAGTTTTTCATTACCGAGTATAATTTTGAGTGTTCATATTATAATAAATGTTCTACATTTGTTATGAAGTTCAAGAGGACTCTCTCAACTCAACGGTTCTTTATTTATCATTGTAAACATACTCTATTCTTTTTGTTTATCCCCGTGAATAAGTAATGCTCTGGTTAACTGGATACTGTATTCTCTTTCCAAGACTGCCACCGTCTCTCACCGAGGTAAGGTGACCCGAAAGAAAGGAAACGCATTCACTATCACTCAATAACTGTCGTGCTAGAAGCAATACTGACGTCACAGTTCAGGTGACCCTCCGAACTGCAGTCCGCCCCACCTTCAGAGTGCAGGTACTGTACCTTTCATCTCCAGGACTCAAGTTCGGCTAACCGGTTTTCCCTTAATCTCTTAATAAATGTTACCTTAAACTCCAACATTACGTCAAGTCACAGAAACTACCAGTCTCCAGTCATTCCTATCTAACATGCTCACATAAGTTTGCAAGTTGCTCAAGCCTCTAGCACTCAAAACCTCCTTTACCCTCCTCCTTCCAACCCTTCCTGGAACGACTCCTACTTCTCCATTCTTCCACCTCAGATTTACACATTATTTTGATCATCCTATTCTACTCCGTATGATTCTTATTATTACCAAAATTTTATACACTGTCTTGCGTTGGATTGTGTAAACTGTGTGTGAAGCGCTAAATCCATGTTGGTCATTCAGCACAAGAAATGTTGGAGGCTTGATCCTCCGATTGGTAATCTTGAGAGGGACGAGCTAGTCTTGCAGTCAGCCAGGCTAGAATAGGAGCTAAGATTAGTCTTGATCATAATTCTTCCTTTTTGTTTGAATGAAGATACCTTACCATTTGTTTAGGCTTTTTGATGGTTGTCCCCTGTTTCTTTCATTTCTTATAAGAGTAGAGCAAAAACTGTGTTTACCTAACACATCTTTAACGCTGGGTGGCTCTCTCATCCTCATCAAACGGGAGTACATCAATTAAAGTAATGAAATGTGTCAGCCTGATCTGGGAGACTTCAGTAATGCGAGGAGGATAGCTCAAGCATTCCACTACGGGCTCAGAAGCTACGGTAGTTAAACAGGTTTCCTTCTAGCAAGGTTGCAGTTTAGTTGTGCTACACAAGTGAGGTGTTCAAGTGATGAGAGGGCAAGGTAGGAGGCTTGGGGACGTGGTAGGAAGGTTGGAACGTTGTTGGCGATCTAGGGGGCGTGGGAAGCATGACTGAGATGGAGCATTTTTTCTTATTTAGCTGCTGCTACCCTGTTCTCTATGATAGTCACGCAGCAGTGGGAAGAATGGAGATATGGGGCACAGGTAAGAAGCGATGATGTTTTGTGAGTTATGTAAGAGAACTACGTGAGTTATGAGGCATAAAGAGGTACTCTGCGAAGTAGTAGTAAGGCATACCACAATGAATGGTGGGTGAGCGAGGGAGGATAGCGGGATGGTATTGCTAAGTGAGTCTTGAGGTACTTACTCAGCCAGTTCGTCAACTGTAGGTGCTGTAGGAGTGACGGCCTCCACCATCCTCTGCTGGAAGTGGTGCTGCATCCCTTCCTCCTCATTCTCGGGGACGTAGTCGCTGTCGTAGTCGCCACCGACGGGTGTGGGGTACTGCTGGCCGAAGTCTTGCCTACGTATCTGAGACCTGCGTTCATCTCTTACAGGATATGTGAAGGCTGCAGTAGCCGCCAGAGCGGTCAAGGCCAGCAGAGCGAGGGAGTACATGCTCACTGTGTGTGTGTATATGTGTGTGTATGTACTCTCACAGGGCGTAATGTGCAGTCTCTCTTACACTGCTGGTTTCACTGTGAGTGGTGCACAAGTTACTCTCCCCCGCTGCCCCGTGCCTTTACATACCCTGGCTAGGCAAGGAAGGCGGAGCTTCGCTGCTTCTCTAGCCACTAGCCGCCCGCCCTTCACATACCGCCCACACCCTTTACAGTCACGCCCATTGGGTTATGCTGCCGTATGGGCGGGGTCACCTAGTCCTCCCCCCGCCCACGAACCTGTTGACCCTGCAGGTGTCACTATACCTGTACATACACGCACATACGTACACACATATACACACACACGTATACACGCGCTCATACACAAGCACAGACGTACACTAGATGCCCTCACGGTCACGACGAAAATGACTACACACACAAGCACAAACTAACGGAAACACACACACACACACACACTACTACGCCAGATACAACTGTTCAAGTTAGGCTGCTGCCGCTGTCATTCATGTGAGTGTTGGCTCTGGTTACTTTGCGCCGTCTCTCTCTCTCTCTCTCTCTCTCTCTCTCTCTCTCTCTCTCTCTCTCTCTCTCTCTCTCTCTCTCTCTCTCTCTCTCTCTCTCTCTCTCTTCCACCGCCTGTTACTGTCACTCCTCTTTGTTGTGTGTGTTTTTTTGGTTGTTGTCTCCTATGTTTTGTTTTTGTTGTTGTTGTGACTCTTTGTTGATGTCACTCGTGTGCTGCATACCTAGACTAACTGAGCGTACATAATAGAGGCATTACTCTTGCTTGTACTCACCTAATTGTGGTTGCAGGGGTCGAGATTCAGCTCCTGGCCCCGCCTCTTCACTGACTGCTACTAGGTCCTCTCTCTCTCCCTGCTCATGAGCTTTATCATACCTCATCTAAAGCTATGTATGATTCCTGCCTCCACTATCTCACTTGCTAGGCTATTTCACTTCCTGACAACTCTATGACTGAAGAAATACTTCCTTACATACCTTTGACTCATCTGGGTCTTCAACTTCCAATTGTGACCCCTTGTTTCTTTGTCCCCTCTTTGGAACATCTTGTCTCTGTCCACCTTGTCTATTCCACGCAGTATTTTGTATGTCGTTATCATGTCTCCCCTAACCCTCCTGTCCTCCAGTGTCGTCAATCCGATTTCCTTTAACCTTTTTTCATAGGACATTCCCCTTAGCTCTGGAACTAACCTTGTCGCAAACCTTTGCACTTTCTCTAATTTCTTGAGGTGCTTTATCAAGTGTGGGTTCCAAACAGGTGCTGCATACTCCAGTATGGGCCTGACGTACACGGTGTACAGTGTCTTGAACGATTCCTTACTAAGGTATCGGAACGCTATTCTCAGATTTGCCAGGCGCCCATATGCTGCAGCAGTTATCTGGTTGATGTGTGCTTCCGGAGACGTGCTCGGTGTTATACTCACTCCAAGATCTTTCTCATTGAGCGAGGTTTGCAGTCTTGGCCACCTAGCCTATACTCCGTCTGCGGTCTTCTGTGCCTTTCCCCGATCTTCATGACTTTGCATTTGGCGGGGTTAAATTCGAAAAGCCAGTTGCTGGACCACGTGTCCAGTCTGTCCAGGTCTCTTTGAGGTCCTGCCTGATCCTCATCTGATTTAATTCTCCTCATTAACTTCACATCATCTGCGAGCAGGGACACTTCTGAGTCTAACCCTTCCATCATGTCATTCACATATACCAAAAATAGCACTGTTCCTAGGACCGACCCCTGTGGGACCCCGCTCGTCACAGGTGCCCACTGTGATACCTCATCACGTACCATGACTCGTTGTTGCCTCCCTGTCAGGTATTCTCTGATCTATTGCAGTGCCCTTCCTGTTCTGTGCGCCTGATCCTCTAGCTTCTGCACTAATCTCTTGTGAGGAACTGTGTTAAAGGCCTTCTTGCAGTCCAAGAAGATGCAATCAACCCACCCCTCTCTCTCATAAAACTCCAGAAGATTTGTGACACAGGATTTGCCTTCCATGAATCCGTGCTGGTTGGCGTTTATACTCTTGTTCCGTTCTAGGTGCTCCACCACTGTCCTCCTGATAATCTTCTCCATGACTTTGCATACTATACACGTCAGTGACACTGGTCTATAGTTCAGTGCCTCTTTTCTGTCTCCTTTTTTAAAAATGGGAACTACATTTGCCGTCTTCCATACATCAGGTAGTTGCCTAGTTTCAAGGGATGTGTTGAAGATTGTCGTTAGTGGCACACACAGCATATCCGCTCCCTCTCTAAGGACCCACGGGGAGATGTTGTCCGGTCCCATTGCCTTTGAGGTATCAGTGTCCCTTAACAGCTTCTTCACCTCCTCCTCAGTTGTATGTATGTCATCCAACACTTGTTGGTATATTCCTTGCTGGTGTCCCCCTCTGTTCTGTCCTCCCAGAGGCCTTCCAGTCTCCATTGTAAATACTTCCTTAAATCTCATGTTGAGCTCCTCGCATACCTCTTGATCGTTTCTTGTGAATTCCCCACCTTCTTTCCTCAGCCTTGTGTTGCTGAAGTCTGTTACATTCTTGCATGGAGAGTTGAAGTGCGTGTGTATCCTCCTTTCCACAGATACTTTACACTGTCTTTCTTCTTATAATGTTGCTACACCAAACTGCCACATATAATCACGTAAGATGCAAAATAACCACAGGGGTAGTTGAATTCCACTCCTCCTGTGGTCCCTATCCTCTTTCTCCTTATTACATTACAGGTAGTTTTAACGAATCCCGCCCCTTCGACTTATCCCTTTTTTTTTTTGTCCCCTTAATATTTTTCAAATAATGTATAATGGTAATTAGTAGGAATTCACTATTTAAAAACGTAGTATTTTACCCATTCATACTCTTGATTTGTAATGGGGGGATTTTTCTTATAATGTGGTAAAAAAATTTTTTAATGTGTTTTTTTAAAATGTGTTGTTGGTATGCCATTAATGGTATTTCTCGTTCCCTTTGGGGGGAATTTTCTCGATTCAGTTTTTATATTATGATTATGTGCTTGTAATATTTGAATGATATTTCGGGAGTTTTGATTGAAAACGCCAACAAAAAAAGTCAGTCTTACTAAGTGGTGTCAAAAGAGTAACGTTTAAATTTTGGGGTTCATTATACTACTACTCTTTGGTTTGTTATCAGTAAGTGCTACCCCAGCAACACTACTCTTGTGGTTTGTTACTAAGTAAGTGCACCCCGCAACCTATCTTGAGGTTTTTACTACAGTAAGTGTTGGGCCCAGCAACAACTCTTGTCGTTTGTTATAAGAAAGTGCTGGGCCAGCAAACTATCTTGGGGTTTGTTACTACAGAAAGTGCTACTCCAGCAACACTACTCTTGTGGTTTGTTACTACAGTAAGTGCTACCCCAGCAACACTTCTTGTGGTTTTGTTACTACAGTAAGGCCCCCCCAGCAACAAACTTTGAGATTTGTTACTACAGAAGTGCTGGGCCAGCAACACTACTCTTGTGGTTTGTTCTACGTAAGTGCTGGGCCCAGCAACACACCTTGGGGTTTGTTACTACAGTAATGCTACTACAGCAACCTACTCTTGTGGTTTGTTACTACAGAACTCTACTCCAGCAAACACTATCTTGGGTTTGTTACTACATAAGTGCTCTCCAGAAAACACTATTTTTGTGGTTTGTTAACAGAATGTGGGCCAGCAACATACCTTTGGTTTTTTACTACAGTAATGCGGGGGCCAGAACCTACCTTGGGTTTGTTACTACAGTAAGTGTTTTACCCACAACACTACTTTTGGGTTTTTTGGGGGGGGGGGGGGGGAGCAACATTTTTTGGGTTTTTTTCGGCCTAGCAACACTACCTTGGGGTTTTTTGTTTACTAAGTAAGTGCTACTCAGCAAAAACTACTTTTGGGTTTGTTACTACAGTAAGTGCTACCCACAACAACTTTTGGGGGTTGTTACAACAGTAAGTTTTAAACTCCAGCAAACCCTTGGGTTTGTTACACAGTAAGTGCTACTCCCAGCAACACTACTTGGGTTTGTTACAAATAAGGCTACCCAGCAACACTACTTTTTATTTTGTTACTACATAATTGAACCCGCAACACTACTCTTGGTTTGTTATACGTAAGTGCTTACCCACCAACACTATCTTGTGGTTTGTTACTCAGTAAGTGCTACCGCAGCAACACTACTCTTGGGTTTGTTACTCAGTAATGCACCCAGCAACACCTTTTTGGGTTTTGTTACTACAGTAAGTGCAAACCCCAGAAACACTACTCTTTGGTTTGGTTACAAGAAAAGTCCCTACCCGCAGCAACCTCTTTGTGGTTTTTACTAAGAAAGTGCTACCGCAGCAACACTACTCTTGGGGTTTTTGTTACTACAGTAATGTTACCCAGCAACACTACTCTTGGGGTTTTTTTTCTACGTAAGGATACTCAAGCAAACTACTCTTGTGGGTTTGGGTTACTACAGTAAGGGGCTCCAGCAACACTACCTTGTGGTTTGTTACTACAGTAAGGCTACCCGGAAACCACTCTTTGGTTTGTTACTCAGTAAGTGTTTAAAGCAGCAACACTACTCTTTGGTTTGTTACTAAAGTAAGTGCACCGCAGCAACTCTCCTTGGGTTTGTTATTAAAGAAGTGCTACCGCGCAACACACTCTTGGGTTTTGGTTACTACATAAGGCTACCAGCAACATACTCTTGTGGTTTGTTATCGAAAGTGCTACCCACAAAACACTACTCTTGGGTTTTTTACTACAGTAATGCTCCCCGCAGCAACCACTCTTGGGTTTGTTACTCAGTAAGTGCCCGCAGCAAACTACCTTGTGGTTTGTTACTCAGAAGTGCTCTCAGCAACACTACTTTGGGGTTTGTTACTACAGTAATGCCCGACAAAACTCTTTTTTGGGTTTGTTACTCATAAGTGCTACCCCAGCAACCTTCTCTTGTGGTTTTTTAATACAGAAGTGTTCCCAGAAAACCTTGGGGGTTTGTTACTCAGTAATGCCTCCAGAAAACTACTCTTAGGTTTGTTACTACATAATGTACTCCAGAAACACTCCCCTTTTTGGTTTGTTACTACAGTAATGCTACTCCCGCACACTACTCTTG